TTTGCAACCCCTCCTCTGTGAGCTGTAAACTCTCTTGTAGATGAACCTTGATTGCTGTTAGCACAACAATGGCTGGGATTTCCTAAAGCCAATCCACTTTAAGGGTTACCTGTAATGAATCACCACCATAGATGATCAGCTGTGCCGTGGCCCTCTCCACAGAGCAGGATTTACTACAGAAGGCTGTGGTACCCACTGCATCTGCCCCTTGCATGTCGCTGTGGAGGTGGTTGGGTGATGGTCTGAAGCTGTCCACTGGGTGCACTGGCCCTGGGGCCTCCAGGGGGATATATGCCTGCACTAGAAATCAGACTGCTGCTTCTCCACAGCCATTGAAGACAAACTTCACACTCCAAGGCCTCTCTGGTACCTGCTCTCGCCCCTTTAAATGAGGTGGGACCAAACCCCCTACAAATTAGCCACGGTTGCACCCGCCTAACTTCACAGGACAAAGAAACCCACCAACCCCGGAAACTGCCCTTGTGGTTCTTTCTCTTGATGTTAGTGTTTCATCTCAAACCTGTCTATTCCTCTGACTTTACTACACATATCAGTTGGAAGTTCAGAAGGGTATAATTAAGTCACTTCTGGAATTCTCTGGGCTTTTAACTAATTAAGAACAGAAGCAGGAGCCACATGTAGGACAAAATAAAGTATTGAGCTTTACCACTGGTACAGGTGGATTGGAAAATGTGATGAGGGTTGTAGTATTGTACTCTACTCAGCAAGAAGTGAAAGCCCCCACATAGGAGTAGAACAGAAGAATAGGAGTTTATTTTTAGTGCAATGAGTCATGACACCTGCCAAAGCCATAGTGCCTTCAGATGGAAACTTTGGGCAGGAACTAGGCAGACATGTTTTAAAGCACTTAACCTGGTTTCTCCCCACTCCCACCACTGGGCTTGAGATGGGCACTTGACCAATGGGCAGTTTTAGCAGACAGACCCCTACAATGTGAGATTGATTTGGTTGCTTCAAATCTGGACCCCATATTTAATTTGCTGTATTAATTAGAACAAATTATTTAATTTTTTATTATTTATTTATTTATTTATTTATTTATTTATTTATTTACTTACTTATTTATTTATTTATTTTTTGCTCCAGTCAACAAAAGAGAAACTTTATTGAGACCCTAGCATCACAGGGTTCAGATAGAAGGCTGCCCTGTGGACCCAAGGAGTTGGGGAGGGGCCTTATTTAACCTTCTTCTTGGGGCGTAGGTTCTTAACACTTCTTCTTGCGGCAGTTGACAGCACGGGGGTGCAGGCGGGCGTAGCATTTGCGGCAGATCATCTTGTCGCAGTTGTACTTTTGCGCGAGCTGGCGGAGGGAGGGTTCGATGATGCCACCCCTCAGACGAAGCACCAAGTGCAGGGTGGACTCTTTCTGAATGTTGTAGTCTGAGAGAGTGCGACCATCCTCTAGTTGTTTGCCCGCAAAAATCAGACGCTGCTGGTTAGGTGGGATGCCCTCCTTGTCTTGGATTTTAGCTTTGACATTCTCAATGGTGTCACTGGGCTCAACCTCAAGGGTGATGGTCTTGCCAGTCAGGGTCTTGACAAAGATCTGCATTTCTGCGTCTGCTGGGGAGGCTGCTCCGCCGCCTCGTTGACGAGAAAGAGCCAAATTATTTAATTTTTTAAATGCATTCCTTCTTTTGTTAGGTGGGAATACAAATATGTTAAGTGATGGTTGTGAACACACACACAAAAAAATGCCCAATACTGTTTTGTTCATAGTAAGCACTGAGTAAATAATAGTAAAAAAATAACTGTGAATGGTATAACTTATTCTTTTAAAAAGACATATTTATATTGATTTAAGAGAGGAAGGGAAAGGGAGAGAGATATATAGAAACATCAATGATGAAAGAGAATCATTAATCTGCTGCCTCCGATAGGTTGACAATCAACTACTGAGCCACTGCAGTTGGACCTGTTTCTTATTCTTATACTAGAGGCCCGGTGCACAAAATTCGTGCATGGGAGGGGGGTTTCCCTTAGCCCAACCTGCACCATCTCCAATCTGGGACCCCTTGAGGGATGTCCGACAGGCAGTCGGACATCCTTTTCACAATCTAGGACTGCTGGCTCCCAATTACTCGCCTTCCTGGCTTCCTGATTGCTCCTAACTGCTTCTGCCTGCCAGCCTGATCACCCCCTAACCACTCTGTCAGCCTAATCGTCCCCAACTGCCCTCCCCTGATACCTTGGTCACCCCCAAATGCCCCCTCTTGTATATTTCCTCTTTATTAGATAGGGTGTTTTCTTTAGCATATTGGACAGTCCTAACTGGTTTGGCTCAGTGGATGGAGCATTGGCCTGCAGAATCAAGGGTCCCAGGTTCGATTCTGGTCAAGGGCATGTACCTTGGTTGGGAACACATACCCAGTGGGGAGTGTGCAGGAGGCAGCTGATTGATGTTTCTCTCTCATAGATGTTTCTAGCTCTCTATTCTTTTCCCTTCTTCTCTCTAAAAAAAAAAATCAATAAAATATATATTTTAAAAAAGAAACATTAAAAATTCCTCCATATCTGCCTGGCTAGTGTGATCCCAGGTTGCCACCACTGAAGGGGATCGCACCCCGGCCAGGCTGAGACCCCAGCCCAGACTGTCATCTCAGTCTGGCCTGGGATGGGGAGGCGGAGGGAGCACGCCCCAGCCAGGCTGAGACCACAGCCCAGGCTACCTCTGGGGCCAAGGGATCGCCCAGCGCAGGTGTGAGGCCCTGCTGGTCGAGGCTGGTAAAATGGATATAGAGCAAGATGGGATAGATGTGGGGTGTATTTTAGAGATAGGGCTGACATGCTGATGTGAGGAATGCAGTAGATATGAGTCAGGGATGAAACCCAGGTATTTTTTGTATGTAACTTGGTAGAAAGTGTTTTTACTTACTGAAATGGGAAATCAGAATGAGAAGCAAGTTTGGAGAAGACATTAGAAATTCCATTTTGATCACATTTGCTTTACTGAGAAGAATTCCATATGGGTTCCAAATCAGGAATTTAGAGGAGTCTTTTGTATTGGGATAGAAATTTGGGACCTGTCAGCATATAGATAGTATTTAAATTCATGACAATAAGAGATATCACTTATAGTGTGCGGTAAGGAATCAAAAAAAGCTCAGGACCTGAACTTGGGGAATTTCTAACATGTAGATATTAAGGAGAAGAGTGGTAGCTGAAAAGGACTTGGAGAAGGATTGGCCACACAAAGAATACCTGGCAATCAAGGATTCATGGGGCAAGCTGGAAGGGTAAAGACATGGTTGCTAACACATCCTGCATTTTTAGAAACATGTAACTTACCAAATGAGAAAAACTTTGAGAGGACAGATGAATGTACTTGAAGGGTTTAAAAAAGAAAGAGATTAACATGTCTAACAAATAAATGATGGCTATCTTGTTAGCCTAGGACAGTAGTTGGCAAACCGAGACTCGCGAGCCACATGCAGCTCTTTGGCCCCTTGAGTGTTTTAACGCCACTTCTTCAAAACAGACTCGCCCAGGCCAAAAAACGACTTCTGTGCAAGGGCCACGAAGTTTCTATCGCACTGTGCGTTGGCGCCCACACGTGGTATTTTGTGGAAGAGCCACACTCAAGAGGCCAAAGACCTGCATGTGGCTTGTGAGATGCGGTTTGCTGACCACTGGCCTAGGAGTATAATTATTTTTTTTATTTTGATATTAGTAGAATTTTTGATTTTTTATGAAGTTGGGAAGTAATTAAATTTTTAAATTTAACTTGAAGCTGCAAATAATTTTTTACACCAGGAGTAATGGTGTTAGTGTCACCTAATGGCAAAATGAGGTATTGCAGCCAAATTTTATGCTGCAATGAACAAAGTAACTGAATTAGAAAGAGAAAAAGAACATTTCTGGGGGAATTTAGGCTTAGATCAGCAGGCTAACTATAGTTATATGATCCTCTCTTATTTAACCTTGGCTTGCTTGTTTTACCCCTTTTCATATACTCTTTGGTCACTGAGCAGGTCTTTTTTTATTGTCTTTTAGGGTTTAGTTCAAATATTTCCCTTTTGGAGAATCCTTTCCCACCACCTTACTTACAGCTGTCCCTACACTCCTTACATTAACCTTTGTCACATTAACCTCTTTCATTATCTTCATAGCCTTTAGAGATATATGGAATTACTTTATTTGCTTCATTGCTTGTTTTCTCACTACATGTCAGCTCCAGGAGAGCAGGCAACTAGTCTGCCTATTCACTCATGTAACTCCAGTGCTGAGTGCTGAGTGCAGTGTCTGCTATGTAGTATTCATGTTGAGTGTGAATATTTGGAAATTGTTGAGTTTCTGTGGTGTAGGGATTCTGTCCAGAAAATATAGTTACACTGTATTTGATCACTGTAACATTGTTTGCTACATAAATGCAATGAGAAAGCTTTGATCATCCTCCCCCTCCCCTCATCTCATAAGTGGTAATGTGTCTGGAAAAGAAAAGATATATGGCTTAGGGTGTTGAATTGTATATTAGTTAATTTTAATAACATAAAATATTTTTTAAAGTACTATATATGGTCTTGAGGAGATACATTTTTAAGACATTTAGATTTAATTAAAAAATAATTCTGTGAATGTATTTTTGTGTGTGTGAATTTGTAGATAATTCTAATATCATGCTTAATTATTTTCTGTATTTAAAATAACAAAAATAGTATCTCTAGGAGAAAAATAGAGTTAAACAGTAGTAGTTGAGATATGGGCTGGTTTGTATTGTTTTTCAGGGAACAATATGGTTCTTTTAGTCTGGAAACTCAGGATGAAGAGTGTATATTTCCATTATGTGGCCCAGTCCAAGAAGGTAGCTTTCCTAGTTTTGAGATAACTATCTAGTGAGCAGAATTCTTCTTCAGATGAACCATTTTTAAAAGCTGAGGATTGATCAGTTCATGTTTTTATTAAATAGTTTTTGTTTTTGTTTTTGATCCCTGTGGCTTTGACCAGGTGGATGTGGGAAGAGATTTTTGCAGAACTGAAATGGAGGTCAGAGCTTCATTACAGAAGGTTACTGGGTCATCGGATTATGTGGCTACACAGAACAGTGAAGAATTTGTTTTGGTTCCTCAGCATGCAGATGATACTTCTACAAAAGATGAAGAAAAACCTGAACTGAAGGTAGTTTTTCTTTCCTACAAATGATACTATTTTAAATTATGGCTTTTTTTTTTTAAACTAGGTGAAAGGAGATGTATAAAATCCAAAGGTTTTTCTCAGGTGTTGACGGTGAGAATAGAGGCAATGTTTGATGTATTTAGAGGCTTATTATTTTTGAAATTTTTTGCTTTTGGTTATTTATTTTTTAATTAGGAATTTAGAAAGAAGGACTAGACGAGGAGAAAGAAAGGATAATTGGGAATTAGACTTAATGGTAAAATCTTACATAAATGTAATTTATCTGAATAGTTTTGTCTCTCTTACTACTGGTTTAAATTTATTATATAGTTACATTTACTTTCACTTTTTTTCTTTATGATCTTAATTCTGCTGGTAACATTGTTGTATGTGATTTAACAATTGACTTGTTTAAATATTTTTAAAATGTATGTCTTTTATTTTTGGTGTTTGTATTTGGTTATGCTCCTTTTTCTTTTTCATTTTTGTGTTGCCTTTCCTAAGAAAAAAACAAGCAAACTCAGGTAGGTATACATGCATGAGAATTATATATCTATCCTCTAGAAATAGGAGTAGAGAAGTTAGTCAGAAGTGCTACATATTTTTAAAATGATTTTTGTTTAATTTATATGTATGGCATCAAAGGTATATTGGTATACAAATCTAATAAAATTATATAAAAATAAGGTTATTAAATATCAATTTTACATTATTTTGAAGATATATGGTTTTATAATTTTGTTAAAATAACTAGTAGCTTTATTTAAATTTATTTACATTTTTATTTAAACAAATAACTATTTAAATTTCTTTAAATATCTATATTTTAGTATTAAGGTATTTAAGATGTTATTTATTACTTAGGTTTTGTGTCTTCTCTGCATTTAAGAAAAATCTGAATTAACATAAATCTAAAGAATTAGCAACAGTCCTCTTGACAGCTTGAAAACGTAATTTATAAAGAAATCAGAAATATGTTTATGTTATGATAAGAAATATGACTTTTATATTACAGTAGACTGTGGCCAATTTAAACTTATCAAGTTTTTCCTTTAAAGCCCATACATTTAAGATTATTTGGTTCTGGAATATGTTCTGAAATAATAAAAAGAAAATAACAAGAAAAAATATCTGTCAACAAGTTCTCAGATCAGATGTAGTTGGAAACTGCCTGAAGTGTTTTCTTAGAAATCCTTTTCTGAAACTAATAATCTTTTGGTTTGGCTGTTGTGTTTTTTTTTGTTTTTTTTTTTTAAATTCAGGATTTTGTATTATATCTAGTAAAATAAGGCAAAACTGTATAAATTCTTGATGTAAGTGACTATATTTAAACAAATATTTAGGTTGTTTTAATTTCTTCTAGAAGTGAAATAGTTTCATTCAGCTCCAGAATCATAACATGATTGAAACACAATTGTCTTGCTTTGTCTATAGATAGTTTCTAATGATGAACAATTGGAAAAAGCCATGGAAGAGATTTTGAGAGATTCTGAGAAAGGGCAAGGCAGCCTTCTTGTGGATCTTCAAAGTTCCAGTGAGATTTCAGACCATTCACTTGGAGGTGTTTCAGCCAGCCAAACAAATAAGCCATCTCTTCAGTTAATTTTGGATCCATCAAATACAGGTATTGAACTGAACTCAGAGAAACCATAGGAGAAGTTTTATAAAGTGATACTGAAAATTTAAAAATTCTATTAACTTTGTTTTTAAGATGAGGACCCCCAGATTCTCAGTGCTGTTTGAGAGTTCCCACTTTGGTTCTTATGTTTCTGTGAAATTTTGCATTGACTTTTGAGTGTTTTGTTTTGTTTTTTTCTTTAGAAATTTCTACTCCCAGGCCATCTTCTCCAAGTGGATTGCCAGAAGAAAATAGTGTTTTATTTAACAAACTGACCTACTTAGGATGTATGAAGGTTTCTTCCCCACGTAATGAAGTGGAGGCTTTACGGGCAATGGCAACTATGAAATCTTCGAGTCAGTACCCCTTTCCTGTTACTCTATATGTGCCAAATGTTCCAGAAGGTTCTGTAAGGTGAGCTGTAATCCATTTCTCCTCTTAGACATATTGCAGATTTGTGTGGTGGCGATGATGTTATATCATTAATCAGCCTAGTACTTACTGTTAATTCACTTTTACTCTGTGATGCAAAGTAAGAATGTTTAGGCTTAGACTGTGTTCCTTATTTGCAAGGGGCACGTGCAAAATTATGCTTAGAATATAAGTGGAGAATAACTATAAAATACCTGTATTTCTGTTTTTGTATTCTGAAGAGCCTAAAAGCATGCCTCCACCTTGTCAGGTAACAGTGGTTCAAAAAATTGGAGTGAGCCTTCATTTTAAGCTCTTTTCATCTGACTGGAAAGAAGCAAAATGTCCCCCCCCCCCTTATGCTTAATTAGTAATAATGTTTAATGTCATCTGAACCTTGAATTTCTTTATTCTTAAAATATATTTTTATTGGTTTCAGAGAGGAAGGGAGAGGGAGATAGAGTTAGAAACATCAATGATGAGAGAGAATCATTGATTGGCTGCCTCCTGCATGCCCACTACTGGGGATTGAGCCCGCCACCCCAGCATGTGCCCTTGACCAGAATCAAATTTGGGACCTTTCAAGTACACAGGTTGACACTCTGTCCATTGAGCCAAACCAGCTAGGGCGAACCTTGAATTTATTTACATGTAAATCAGATGTTAACCCAACATTCAGCCCTCCAGTAGCCTTCAATCACACCTGTGACTATATACTTTCTCCTCACTGGGTCATCCCCCCCCTTCATAGCACTTTTCTTTGACTCAACATTATATACAATTTCATTGCTTATTTGTTTATGGTCTGCCTTCCTCACTAGATATAAGCTCCATGGGTGCAGGTTATTTTTATTTTCCCCTGCTGTTACTTCAGTGTCTAGAGTGGTATCTGGTCCAGGTTTTGAGTAAATATTTGCTGAGTGAACAAATAAATGTACCACATCTCTTTTATTAGAGAGGATAGCAAGAATATGAAGATAAGTAGTTTTCTCACATTATGAGTATAGCTTATGTTGTGATTTTAAGATAGTTATGTTTATATGTTATTGGCATAGTAAAACTGCCTTTGTTCTTTGATAGCTAATATTTTATTTCATTTTCCACCACTGTTCTGCAGAATCATAGATCAGTCCAGCAATATGGAGATAGCATCTTTTCCAATCTATAAGGTGTTGTTCTGTGCACGTGGACATGATGGGACAACAGAGAGCAATTGCTTTGCATTTACAGAGAGTTCCCATGGTTCAGAAGAATTTCAGATACACGTTTTCACCTGTGAAATTAAAGAGGCAGTAAGTATAATATATTTGCTAAAGAGACGAATTAGAGTAGTATTTTGAGCCCTAATCTCACTGTCATAAATTTGTATGTATGAGTATGTACCATGTTATATAAATTTGGAGTATATTTCTAAAGAGAAAGAGCATATTTATACTGGCATAGAACTGAATATGGAAAAGTCAGACCTTATAACAATGCAGGAAAGTGATATTATAGGTGGAGCACACTCAGTCTTACAGATGTAACAGGAAAAGGCCACTTGACGAGCTGTCCTTCACCCCACCATGGTAGTCATTGTTCAGATTAGTTAGGAAGAGGGAATTTTTTTTTTGTACCTTTTTATTATTTTGCCCAAGTTGATTGGTTCATGTAATTTGAAAAACTGGTTCTAACAATACCTTTACCTCTGCCAGGAATGATGGTTGCATATTGCTTGCACTTGATATTGGTTTCATAGAGCTCTGTGGTTTCACCAGAGATTGTTTGTTATGTACATTCACTTAGTGGCTGGCTTTGGCTCTAGAGAACTGGCCTGATTAAATATAGGAATGCTCACATACTGCAGGGTGTCAACTTGGAGGCCTTTGAAGGGGCCAGGAACTTCCTTTTAGCCTTTCTTAAGTAGCGGTTTCTTTTAAGACTGGAGAAATAATTCAGAATCAAATGGCTGGTAAATACATGGGGAAATTTCCTTCATTTTTGCATCTGTTAATTCTCCCCAAATTAAAAAGAAATTGCCCTTTTAGAACTTTAGTACTTAAGCTTTTTTTTTTTTTTAAAATATATTTTATTGATTTTGTACAAAGAGGAAGGGAGAGAGATACAGAGTTAGAAACACCGATGAGAGAGAGTCATCGATCAGCTGCCTCTTGCACACCCCCTACTGGGGATATGCCCGCAACCAAGATACATGCCCTTGACCAGAATCGAACCCGGGACCCTACAGTCCCCAAGCCGATGCTCTATCCATTGAGCCAAACTGGTCCCGGCAGTACTTAAGCTTTAATCAATGAATGGATTTGCATGAGAAAGGTCGCCAGTGTGTGTGCTTTGGGGAAATATAAGTTGTCAGTAGAAAATGCTGAAAGCTGCAGTTATTCTCTTTGCTCTTTACCACGAAGTGTAAACAACTATTGTATTAACAGGAATTCTGAGAGCTTATTTCTGGCCACAACATGCAAAATCATAGAAATGTAGACTTCTGTGTGTTTGATACTAAGCACGAGGGGCATGTCAGTCTTTATTCCCTGAACACCAAAGTGAACATGCACAGACACATGTAATTTAGATTGTAGCCATTGAGTTCTCTACCAGAATTCATGCCTGTGTGAGAAGTAGTTCTGAATCTATTTCAGCCAACATTTATACACACACACACACACACACTCTGTTGGTAGAGGGCTGGCATTTCACGTTGGCAGTCATCATTTAATATCCCTGTGTGGTTTCTGGACAATTGGCACTCAACAGCAAGAAAGTGAACAGTGAAGAGTTGCAAAACCTGCTGCTTGGAGAAGCAGAAACACTGCGGCAAAAGGAAGTGGAAAGGGGCCTGGCTGCAGCATTCTTCCTAATTGTGACGGTATGAAACTCTCTGGATTATAGCACCCACTTATTTATGGGCGGGGAATCTGTGTCAGTTTTGAAGTTTTAAAAATTTTAATTTTTTTTTTAATCCTCATTCAAGGACATGTACATTGACGAGAGAGAGAGAGAGAGAGAGAGAGAGAGAGAGAGAGAGAGAGAGAGAGAGAGAGGTAGCAATTCATTGCCTCCTGTATGCACCCCTACCAGAGACTGAACTTGCAACTTAGGCAAGTGCTTTGACTAGGAATTGAACCACAACCTTTTAGTGCTTCGGATGATGCTCCAAACAACTGAACCACCCTGCCAAGGCATCTTTGACATTTTTTAGATCTTTAACAGTGAGAAAGCATGGACAAAACTGGGGAATTCTTATCCTTACCATTTTGAATATGGTATTAAATAGTATTTCTAGAGAGGATATTTGGTAGTTTGTAGGTTGTGAGCAAGTGATATCCATGTATTTTAAAATTTTATTTCCATGTATTATTGTGGATTTCTAGAGTACATTTTTCAAAGTGTTACATTATAGGACATGGGTGGTAAAATTCATTGCTTGAAGGAGAATATATAATTGTCATTAAACTTTATTACAAGACATCCTTTCTAGTCCTGGCTGAGCAGCTCATTTGGTTAGAGCATTTGCTCGATATGCCAAGGTTGTGTGTTCGATCCCGGGTCAGGGTACATACAAGAATGAACCAACAAATCCATAGATAAGTGGAACAACAAATCATTGTTTCTTTTTCTCTCTCTTTCCCTTCCTCTTTAAAATAAATAAATTTAAACATTTTTGTGAAGAAAGAACGTTATTTCTAAATGAATATAACCTAGTATAAATATAGAGCTTATGCTGAGCATTCACTCAATTCTCATCACGTCTCCCTGACATAGATTGTATTTATTTAAACTGGTGATCTTATGCCCCTCCTTGCCTGGAGCAGTCATAGTTTATCCCTCTTCTCCGGGTGTATTATTAATGGCACTCTGTTGTGTTCTCAGAAGTGCTCTGGTGCTCCGGTTTGTTTGACACATATAGTTATCCTTTGCTTATCTGAAGGCTAAGAGAATAGAGGATGGAGCTGGGTTTCCAATGGAAGTCTCTGACTCTGAAGCCCCATGTAATTTTCAGTAATAACTTTCCTTTTGCTTTAATAGTATAACAGGCAAATATGGATTTTTGTTATTCAGTTATGCTTTATAAGGGGATTGATTGGTCATAGAGTTTGCTTCCCACCTGCCTTTGGTTTTTATCCATGCTTTTATAGAAGATCTTCCTCTCCCCTCAAAAAATAATTACCTGTTAATTAATTTGAAGTCCTTTTCTTATACATACCAGTTGTCTGGTTATTTGGTTCCCAGAAGTTTCTTGTTCTGTGATGAAGTGACAACTTTAGTCTTTAGTATTTGGGCTCTCTTGGTGAGCACATACAATTGGCAAAGATAGTTTAGGAACATGTGATAGACATTCTTATTGCTTATTGCTTAAAATATGTACAGTGTAGCAGTGTTGCTAAGTAATTTGTTTTCCATTGTTTTCAGAATCCTGGATGAGACATATAGAAGATTGTTAAAAGCAAGAAGATGTCTTTTCAAGTAGGATAAGCAACATGGCTACCACTACCAGCTGTACTGTCATGCTCTTATTTCACCATCGAGTCCCAGGCACAGGCACCAGCAGTGGCAGAGAGGAAGCTGGCGAGGGTGATGACCTCTTTGGACCCCTGGCACAAGGATTAGGGGTTCTAACCCCATAGAAGATTTAGGGCACATTTGCCTCACGACCCTAGATGTTCTGCAGGACTCTGTTGGAGTGAGTCTCAGTGATCTGTGGCAAAAAAGTTGGGATCCAGCCCGAAGAATCCTGATGCCGGTGATCATTGCTCAGGAGAATGACAGGCTAAGCTTCTGCTGAAAAAGTGAAATATCAGAAAGCATAGAGAAAAGAGCCAAGAAGGCACCTGTTTTTGTTACATTTTTATGGATATATTATACAAAACTGTTCGTAAAGAAACTTTAAAAGGCTTAGTTTACTCTTTAAGAATTTATTTCTACAAGTCAGTGTGATCATTTTCTTCAAAACATGTTATTTATATGTTTTAACATACTTATCATTCATTACTAGCAATTCTCAGTGTTATATTTTAGAAGCAGAGTTGTTATCTGGTTTTAGGCATTCAGAGGTGTTTCATAAGAAATATTAGCAGTATCATTGGGAAGATCTTAATTCTTAATGCACTGGTTTTTATTGATGTTATTTTAACAAAATACTTTAGAAAGTAATTCAGAAGCTATGCTGTTAGTATTTTCCATAGATTTTTATACATTTTTAAAAAGTTTATTTTATGATATGCCTCTTATTTTAGCTCACTTCACTGAGTAATAAATTTGAGTAAGGCTGAGACCGGTTTGGCTCAATGGATAGAGCGTCGGCTTGGGACTGAGGGGTCCGGGTTCGATTCCGGTCAAGGGCATGTACCTTGGTTGTGGGCACATCCCCAGTAGGGGGTGTGCAAGAGGCAGCTGATCGATGACTCTCTCTCATCGATGTTTCTAACTCTCTGTCTCTCTCCCTTCCTCTCTGTACAAAATCAATAAAATATATTAAACAAAAAAAATTTGAGTAAGATGTTTTAAAAATTTTAATACATATCTTTCCAGCTGTCTTTATAGAATGATTTTCTACACTTATTTTTTGGGTGAAATTTTCTATAGTGTTTTTATTTATTTATTTATTTATTTATTTATTTATTTATTTATTTATTTACTTCCTACTTACAGTTTACATTTAATATTATATCAATTTCAGATGTACAGTGTAGTGGTTAGACATTTATGTAGTTTACCAACTGATTCCCCCTTATAAGTCTTGTATCTACTTCGTACTGACATATGATCTTTTTAAAAGAGTTGATTCTCTTTTAAAAATATTAGTAAAAATAATTATTTTTGAAAAACTGGCTATGTTATTTAATTAACTAATTATTTTAAGTAAATGTCTTTATTTAAAAAAATATATATTTTATTGATTTTTTTTTTACAGGGAGGAAGGGAGAGAGATAAAAAGTTAGAAACATTGATAGGACGGAAACATTGATCAGCTGCCTCCTGCACACCCTCTACTGGGGATGTGCCTGCAACCAAGGTACATGCCCTTGCCCAGAATCAAACCTGGGACCCTTCAGTCCACAGGCAGGTGCTCTATCTACTAAGCCAAACCAGCCAGGGCAGTAAATGTCTTTTTAAAAAAATCCTCACCTAAGGATATGTTTTTAATGATATATTTTATTTACTTATTTATTTTTTTGTTAATCCTCACGCAAGGATACTTTTCCATTGATTTTTGGAGAGAGTGGAAGGGAGAGAGAGAGATAGAGAGAGACACATTAATTGGTTGCCTCCTGCACGCATCTCAACCAGGGCCAGGGATTGAGCCTGCACGTGAGGTACATGCCTTTGACTGGTATCAAACCTGTGACCTTTTAGTCTGAGGGCCGATGTTCTATTCACTGAGCCAAATCATCTAGGGCTAATGTTATATTTTAGAAATCAGGGAAGAGAAGGGGGAGGGAGAGAGAGAAAAACATCAATGTGAGAGAGAAATATCAAACTGGTAGCCTCCCCTATGCTCCCTGACTGGGGATCAAACTTGCAATCTAGGTAAGCAACCTAACTGGGATCTGAACTCACAGCCTTTAAATGTATAGGACTACGCTCCAACCAACAGAGCTACCCAGCCATGGCTAAAATAGCACTTAAAAAAAAAAAACACAAAACACTATTAAAATGTAGTACATATTTGAGAATTTGGAAAATACTGAAGAAAAAAAAAAAAGTTACTCAAAATTTAACCAGAATTAAGATTTTTGTGTTTTCCCTTTCCATGTATCTACATGCACTCTGCTTTTCACCTCTTCAGAAACAACAACACAATCCCAACAACAACAATCCCAACATAGTTTTGTGTTTAATTAGTGTCTTGTATAGGTACTGCATTCTGGGGGACAATTATACTGTATTATGTCAATAAACTTTTGCCTTCTGCAAAGAAAAGGCCTATTTCAGTACATTTGTGTGTATGTGTGCACGAGTGTGTGTGTGCGCGCGCGCAATAGTTGGCATATATAGAAATGTTTGCCATAGCTTGTGTTAATTTTCTTGTCATGATATTGGTTACCCAATTTGTTCGAGTAACTATAGATATTGGTTATTATTGTTTCTGAAGCTCTCTACCTTACTAATCTGTGGATACCATTCCAGCTTATTTATCCACATTAGAATTCACAAATGATTTTAACCTTTTGTTGGAAATAGCAACTTGTAAGATACATTCAGGACTAAATGCAGTTTGATTGCTATTAATGATGTTAATGTACTGTTGTGTTCTTCCTCTAAAAAGAGAGAAAGGTGTAGTCTGATCCCCCATCCCCCATGTTCTCTACCTACTCTGGCTCAGCCCCATATACCTAACCTTTTAAAAGAGAAATTCCTGAGCCTTGCCATCTACTTTAGAATTTGCCAAGTTTTTTGACATGGTAGGCTTGCTGATAGCTTTGACAAAGAAAGTGAAATAGAAGATATAAAAGAGGAGAAAAAAAGAAATATAGTTGGGTTTGACTATACAAATGTATGAAAAATTATGTAAAACAGGAAAAACAGATATTTCCCTGTTTTCACATATAGTGTTTTCTTAAAAATATGCTGAAGTTGAATGTGTAAGAAGGAACCAATAGACTTCACATTTTATTGGGGGTTAGAAGGTAGGGAGAACTCAAAGAACCAAAAGTAATTTAAAGTTCCTATTCACACTTTACTTTGTAGGCACAATATTTAATGACTTATTCTTAGCATGTTCTTTGGTTTTGTTTTCCTCTCTAACACTTAAATTATTGAGCTAAGTCAAATAAGTATTCAGTTGAGACTAAACATTTTTGCTTTTGGCTTACCTAATAAGTCCTCACCTACCTTAAGCACATTCAGCTTTCATGTATGTGCTGGAATGTAAGCTCCATGTTAACTGCTATATAATACTTAGTGCACTGAACATGTTCAAAATATATTTCAGAAAGAATGAGTAAATTTATCATTGTTTTAAATGTATAAGTTTTGAGGCCTACAGTTTTTATTAATGCCAACCCTTGTTTTTATTCATTGATATAACATTAAAATCAGATAACACATTAAAATATTAAAAAAATTTATGTGCAGTGTGATATTGCTGAAGTTAAACATTCTTATACAGTTAACAGTGTATATTTAAGAAGCTATGAATTTGGCATTGGCAAGGCACTTTAGGGTAATATAGGTTAATATGTGAAAGTAGGGCTGATGGATGTTTGAGAATTACTTGTTTTTGAATGTGATAGACTGAATGTATGAGAAAAGGTAGAATATATGAATATAACAAGATAGAAAAGAAATTAAGAAATTCTACTGTTGATGAAAGTGTTCTTGTTTCAAGCAAATTACAAAATATTACAGTCATAGACAAATATAATTCAGTAATTTGAATTCACTCTATTTAAAGTGAAGGATTTATTAATATTCAGAGAAGTCTTTTTTACTTGTTCCTTCCAATGTGAGGTTTTGAAAATATGACCTTTGTTAAACCCTTCTTATTTTATCTTGTTTTCTTCATTCAACCCATGAGTGGCCCAGGAGATTTGGAAGGTCTTTTGTGCGTTAGGCTTACACAGATGTGAGATGGTATGATGCTTCTTTTGGAAGTGAGGAAAAGAATAACTTCTGGAATAGTGTGTGACATTTCTCAACTTTAGGGGAAGTGTATGAGAGTGGCTTAACACTAGTAAAATAGATAAGACCACTTCAGCATGCGTTCTTGAATCCTGCAATGTGTTTATATCACAACCACATGCATAACAACACTGGGAACTAAACCATATTACTGTGTTTGTTTATTGTGAAAACCAGTATTTGCTTCATTCTGTGCCTAGATATCTAGTCCTCTGAAGCTGAGGAAAGTGAAAAGAGAAATTGACGACTTGGGCTAAAACCTTTTTTGTGTGTGTTGATTGGGAAGGTTTAGATGCTGGGATCATTCTTGTAATTATTTTTGGAGTCATACTATATTCTGAGGTCTAGCCACATCTATAAATAAATAGAGGTTTTTTTTTTTTTAATGAACTTAAATTCTTTATTACTGTGTTTAAATGCCAGATCAAAGCTATAGATATGTTTATATATACATTATATTACAGACTATATAACATATATTATAAACTATATATATGCTTATATTCTATCTGCTTAAGAAAACTGTGTTATGTTAAATTCTAGATTCAAGAATTAGGAGAGAAGGGTATAAAAAATGCAGTTAAAACCTTGCCTAATGGTTCTCTCATTTTTATTCTTTTAGGTAAGCAGAATTTTATATAGTTTCTGTACAGCATTCAAACGTTCTTCTAGACAAGTTTCTGATGTTAAAGACTCAGTTATTCCTACCCCCGACAATGATGTGTTTACCTTCAGTGTCTCCTTGGAGGTAAAAGAAGATGATGGAAAAGGAAACTTTAGGTGAGGTTATTTGGAAAGAATAAACATTGATATTGTGCCTGAAATATGATATTGGCTAATATAAAGATGCTAGAAACTATACAATCTTCGTTTTAAGCTTTAAAATGCAAAAGAAATATTTGATGAATGACTATGTTTCACTTTTCTCCTAATTTAAAAATATTTTATCTAAGTGCTTTTCTTAATATTTAAGTCTTGATATTTATTATAGAAAACATAGTAAAATAATAAAAATAGAATAAAAAACAGCTGTAGTGATTGTCAGCTAAGATAATACTCAATATTTTAGTTATTTCCTTTGTTTATTTCTAGGAGATATTTTTAAATTTATTCCTATACTAATAAATTTTTCTTTTAACTTTTTAAGAATTTTTTATTAAAATGTTCTTAATCAAAATTATTTTTGATGGTTACCAATAGTATGTGGTTTTACCATCATTTATTTAGCCAGTTCATTTTATTGTATATTTACAATGTTTTCTCCATTTCAAAAATAGGCGTGTAATAGGACACGGTTATATTCTTTTGTCTTTAATCCTCACCTGAGGATATATTTCTATAGATTTTTAGAGAGTGGAAGAGAAAGGGAAAGACAGAAATATTGATGTGAGAGAAATACATTGATTGGTTGCCTCCTGCACATGCCCTGACCAGGGCCCAGGCTGGGGAAGAGCCTGTAACAGGTATGTGCCCTTGACCGAATCCAACCGGGGACTCTTTGGTCCGCAGGCCTACACTCCATCCACTGAGCCAAAACGGCAAGGCTCCATGTTTTTTCTTCATTCATTCCTAACCCCCATTGGTCCTTACACTCAGTGAAGGATTTTTGTTCCAAGGTCTGTGTGAGCCATACCTGGAAGGGCCAATCATATTCTAATGATCACTTACTAATAAGTGCCTTAACTGTGCTTTCAATTTTAATAATTGCTAGGTAGGTATTTTATCTGTTTATTATAGATACAGAAATTGATCCTAGGTCAAATAAGTTACTCAAGGTTTTTTTCTTTTTCAGATAAGACAACCTATATTTTAGACATTGTTTTAATAGTAATTCTTTTTAAAAAAATATATATTTTATTGGTTTTGTACAGAGAGATAGAGAGTTAGAAACATCGATGAGAGTCATCGATCAGCTGCCTCTTGCACACCCCCTACTGGGGATATGCCAGCAACCAAGGTACATGCCCTTGACCGGAATCGAACCCGGGACCCTTCAGTCCCCAAGCCAACGCTCTATCCATTGAGCCAAACCGGTCTTGGCATATTTTAATAATAATTCTTAAGAGTATTCACACCGAAACCGGTTTGGCTCAATGGATAGAGCGTCGGCTTGGGGACTGAAAGGTCCCGGGTTCGATTCCGGTCAAGGGCATGTACCTTGGTTGCGGGCATATCCCCAGTAGGGGGTGTGCAAGAGGCAGCTGATCGATGACTCTCTCATCGATGTTTCTACTTTGTATCTCTCTCCCTTCCTCTCTGTACAAAATCAATAAAATATATATTTAAAAAAAATAATTCTTATGAGTATTCAGTCTCGCCTAGGCTAGACTGCTGCAATCTCTATCATTTTGTCCATTTTTTACAGTATATTTTCCTAGATATATCACAGTCATCTCACATTCTAGATATTTAAAAGTAAGCTCGTTTTCTAATTTTCTTTTGCCTAGGGTTTCACTATGTTAAAAGAACTCAGGACTGCACTTACAGCTAAATCAGACATGGGACTGTCTTTAAAAACAAGTTATTGCCCTAGCCAGTTTGGCTCAGTGGATAGAGCGCCGGCCTGTGGACTTGAAGGGTCCCAGGTTTGATTCTGGCCAAGGGCACATGCCTTTGTTTTGGGCTCAATCCCCAGTGGGGGATGTGTGGGAGGCAGCTGATCAACGATTCTCTCTCATCAGTGATGTTTCTATCTCTGTCCCTCTCCCTTCCTCTCTAAAATCAATTTAAAAAGTTATTAAATCATATTCTTAAATTTGTTAAATTTAAAAACTCAAATTTGAAATGATGTCATTTACAAAATCTTTTTGTTAACCTCTGTTAGGTTTTGTTGAGTATAAACTTACTAGAGGCCTGATGTTCAAAACTCATGCAAGAGTAGGCCTTCCTTCCCCCTGCTGCCGGCATCAGCTTCCCTCTGTCACCCGGGACCCAGGTTCCCTCGCAGCCCTGGCTTCCGGAGGGTCGTCCAGAAGGATGTCCAGAAGGACGTCTGGTCTGATTAGCATATGTTACGCTTTTATTATTATAGATAGTTACTGTGTGGCAGGATGAGAGTTTAGTATATTTTAAGAATAAGGGTGTTGTTGCTTAAATACCTTGTTGTCTCATTCTAATGTTGGAATAGGGTATCTTATATTATTGTATTACTTATTGAATGGTAATTCCTGTTCTTTTTGCATATTTCAGTCCTGTGCCTAAGGACAGAGATAAATTTTATTTCAAATTGAAGCAAGGAATAGAGAAGAAGGTAGTGATTACAGTGCAGCAACTTTCTAACAAAGAATTGGCTATTGAAAGGTAAGCAGTTTGTTCCTAAATACTACCCCAAACTTGTATTGACACTGTTATTGTATTTCAAGAGACATAGTATTGAATCTTAGCTGTATTAGTCACTGTGGCTTTTCACCATTTTTCAATTTCTTTATTTAAAAAATGAAGATGAGGATGAGAATCATAATACTTTCTGCACTTAAAGAAGTTAGATATAATTGGTTCATTGAAATTTCATTGATGGGAGCAATAAGCATGAAATGACTTTATTTTTTCAGTAACAACTTCTTCATCCCTGTTTGGTCAAATCCATCTTTCTTGCTATTCCTCATTTATATATATGAGACAGATACCTTCTCAGTCATTTTTAAAAAAATATATATTTTATTGATTTTTATACATAGAGGAAGGGAGAAAGATAGAGAGTTAGAAACATTGATGAGAGAGTCATTGATCAGCTGCCTCTTGCACACCCCCTACTGGGGATATGCCCGCAACCAAGATACATGCCTTTGACTGGATCGAACCCGGGACCTTTCAGTTCCCAAGTCGACGCTCTATCCATTGAGCCAAACTGGTCCTGGCTCATTTTTTATTATTAAACATTCCATATGGTTACCTGGATTTCAGAAGCTTTAAAAGATGTATTTATATGTTTTAAAATGTATAAATGTGTACACATACATACACACACATACATATATATGTGTATGGGTGCAAATTATATATTTATGAATATATTGACCATTAACAAACAAAATAAAAACACTTGGTAGGACAGAAGATACCATAAACAAAGTTAATAACAAATGATAGTTCTGGAAAAAACACTTCTAATATAGATGACAGATAAAAGATTAATAGCTATAGTATATATAAATGTTGTAACAGTTCGTAGAAAAAAAAGGAGAAAAACAAGAGTCTGGATAGGAAAGCTCTTTACTTAGCCAACAAACATATATGTAAAAATGTCCCAATTCATGAATAGTCAGGAAAATGTAAGTAAGGTAACAATAAGATATCCGATTGGCAAAATTAGCATATAGAGCTGATGGGGATATGAACAAAAAGGGTAAAATGTGTGTACCTACTTTTTGAAAGCAATCTGGCAACATCTATGAAGATGAAAAGATACCTATAGTGAGACACATTGGTTCCATTCTAGGGAGTATATCTTTTTTTTTTTTAAAAACATATTTTATTGATATTTTACAGAGAGGAGGAAGGGAGAGAGATAGAGAGCTAGAAATGTCGATGAGAGAGAAACATCGACCAGCTGCCTCTTGCACACCCCCTACCGGGGATGTGCCTGCAACCAATGTACATGCCCTTGACCGGAATCGAACCCGGGACCTTTCAGTCCGCAGACCGACGCTCTACCACTGAGCCAAACCGGTTTCGGCAAGGGAGTATTATCTTGTTAGAAATAAAAGTATACCACTAATGACAGTTTTAAAGGATATTTATTACAGCATTGTTTATAGTGGCATAAAACTGGAAATAAAAACAAATACTTACTCGGCTTAGAGGAGTGGGAGAAATTGTAAGGATCCTGGAGAAAGAAAAGCCTCTTTGTTGTGTACTATGACTGCTCCTTCATTCATTCTCTAGACTGGGGGGAAGGTCAGGGCCAGTCATGGTTCTGACCGATAGCATCATAGAAGCCTCTGTCCCAACTGAATGTAGGAGAAGGTGTCTGGTCCCTGTATATCTACAACTTTCTTTGAAGTGTCGGGCATTTAGCTCTACTTTCTTTTTCTTTTCCTTTTTAATTGATTATGGTATCACATAATTGTCCTCATCCCCCCATTCCCATCTCAAACCCCTCCCTACATATGCCCCACCCCCCTGTTGTCCATGGCCACTGACTAGGTCCATATGCATGCACACAAGTGCTTTGGTTGATCTCTTCCCCTTACCCCCACCCTCTCCTACTTTCCCTCTGAAGTTTGAGAGTCTGATCGCTGCTTCTCTTCTCTGGGTCTGTTTTTGTTCATCAGTTTATGTTGTTCATTATTTCCTCTAGATGTGTGAGATCATATGATCCAAGAAATATCCTTGTAAGAACCTAAACTGCTTTCTTCCCATCTTTAGATCCTACTGCTAGTCTCCAGATAACAGGAAGTCCATTTCAGCTTATTGGTAGAGTGTGTTTTTAATTGTTTGTGAAAACACAATAAAAACGATTTCATCAGTTTTAAGAGGTACATCTTATATAATAGAAGGCTAATATGCATATTGCCTGAATGGTGGAACAACTGGTTGCTATAACGTGCACTTACCACCAGGGGGCAAATGCTCTATGCAAGACCTGCCCCCTGGTGGTCAGTGCACTTACACAGGGGGAGCGCCACTCAGCCAGAAGCTGGACTCATGGCTGGTGAGTGCTGCAGCTGTGGTGGGAGCCTCTCCCACCTCTGTGGCAGTGCTAAGGGTGTCTGACTGATGGCTTCTCTGTGGGGTGTGGGCCTAAGGTGTCAGTCAGACATCCCCTGAAAGCTCCTGGACTGTGAGAAGGTGCAGGCTGATCTGAGGGCCCCCCTTTGAGTGATTTAATTTTGTGCACTGGGCCTCTAGTCTTTTCATATTTAACATGTATGAAATTGTAGTGTTGTTAACAATTGGTGGCAACCTGTAATTATAGTTGTCATGTTTTTTCCCTTTCTTAGTAGTAGTATAAAAAATAATTGTGAGTCTTAAAATTGATGGCTTCTTAACATTGATGAAAAATAGCTAAAGATAAAGATATTGTTGCTTTTGAGTATTTTAATTCTAAGCCACCTGGGCTGAAGTGGAGAGCACTTCCAGTTGAGATGATTTTGAGTCATTGTAATTGCTCTGTTGAGTCCACATGTCCTGGTCAGTGGGCAGCAGGGGATGGAACATTAAGGATACAATGCACTTTAGTGAAAGAACCGCTTTATCTATTGTTTTATACATACATCATTTCGGTTCTGATTTTAACAATGAGAGGAAACCATTTTGATCCCAACAAAAAAAGAGACTTAAGATTTTTTTGATGAGCAGTAGATAAAGAAATGTTTCAGCCTTTTTTTTTTCCCCCCCAGAAGTAATTTTGAACTCACAAAAAGATAAAAATAAAACTTTTACAGAGAACCACCTGTTTAGCCTTTACTCAGAATCGCCTATTGGTTATATTTAGTCCACTCGCTTTGCACCACTTTCTTGATCTCTCAAACTCTCAATTTTTCTTTCTCTGTTTCTTTCTCTCTCTCTCAATCTCTCTCTCTATACCCCCTACCCCTCTCCACATGTATGTTTTTTGGAATAGTTTAAGAATAAGTTCCATACCTCATGGTGTTTTATCCTTATATAAGAGTCCTGGTGCACGAAATTCATGCACAGGTAGGGTCCCTAGGCCTGGCTGGCGATCAGGGTCGATCCGGGCCTTCTGGCTGCTAGCTGGGGCCTGCCTTCCTGCTGCTGGCTGGGACCTTCCTTTGTTCTGCACCGGCCTCTGATAGTCAGTGCATGTCATAGCAAGTCAAACTCCTGGTCTCCAGTCAAACTCCTGAGGGGACACTTTGCATATTAGCCTTTTTTATATCCTTAGGAAATAGTATCTCTTATATAACCAGATTATATGTACCAATTCAGTAAATTTAGCATTCAGACAGTACTTTTTATCTGACCTGCCATTTATCTCCAGTTTTGTTGACCCCGTATCATCCTATCCTCTTCCAGTCCAGAATTCACACTAGGGTCAGGTGTTGCATTTAGTAGCCATATGTCTTCAGCTTTTTAAAATCTGGAAACATTTTCTTTTTTTTTTTTTTTTAAATCAATCTTTATTGTTCATATTATTACAAAGGTTCCTCATTTCTTCCCCCCTCCACCAGGTTCCCACCCCACCCTCTGCCCCCTCCCCATCCCCCATTGTCCTCATCCATAGGTACACAGTTTATGTTCAGTCTCTTCTTCCCTCCCTTTCCCCAATAGTAAATCCCTTTTCAGATAGTAAATCAGTTACTTAGCATTTTCTCATATCAATAATATCTCCACATGCCCAATGATACACTTCACACAAAAGACATTTCCCAATAGGTCCACCAGCCTCATCCAGGCCCCACCCAAGGCACTCACAGATCAACACCCCAGTCCTAAACTAACTCAACACATCCAGATCTAAGCCTTCATCACTTGATTCAGCAGACCCTCAAGTTCCCACGAAAGTTTCCAGCCATGTCTGAGAAGCAGCCGTGGGGCAGGGGCAGGCAAGGAGCAAGCTGTTCTGGGCCTGGCTGCTCAGGGCCTGGCCTCTGTTGCTCTGGTTCATTCCACAACCAGCTGCTCCGGGTCTGGTCACTGCCGCTCCCGACCTAGTTGCTCTGGACTTGGCTGCTGCTGCTCCGGGCCTGGCCGCTCCCAGCCTGGCAGCCGCTGCTCCGGGCCTGGCCGCACCAGCCCCGCCTGCTCCCCCGGGCCTGGCCGCTCCCAGCCTGGCAGCCGCTGCTCCGGGCCTGGCCGCACCCGACCCGCCTGCTCCCCCGGGCCTGGCCGCTCCCAGCCTGGCAGCCGCTGCTCCGGGCCTGGCCGCACCAGCCCCGCCTGCTCCCCCGGGCCTGGCCGCTCCCAGCCTGGCAGCCGCTGCTCCGGGCCTGGCCGCACCCGACCCGCCTGCTCCCCCGGGCCTGGCCGCTCCCAGCCTGGCAGCCGCTGCTCCGGGCCTGGCCGCACCAGCCCCGCCTGCTCCCCCGGGCCTGGCCGCTCCCAGCCTGGCAGCCGCTGCTCCGGGCCTGGCCGCACCAGCCCCGCCTGCTCCCCCGGGCCTGGCCGCTCCCAGCCTGGCAGCCGCTGCTCCGGGCCTGGCCGCACCCGGCCCGCATGCTCCCCCGGGCCTGGCCGCTCCCAGCCTGGCAGCCGCTGCTCCGGGCCTGGCCGCACCCGGCCCGCATGCTCCCCCGGGCCTGGCCGCTCCCAGCCTGGCAGCCGCTGCTCCGGGCCTGGCCGCACCCGGCCCGCCTGCTCCCCCGGGCCTGGCCGCTCCAGCCTGGCAGCCGCTGCTC